TGCCTTCGCTCTAAATCAGCTGGGATAGGCTCCAGCCCCCCTGCGGCCCTAGTGAGGATTAAGCGGTGTATAGATAATGGATGGATGGGTTTGTATAGGGAGCGCATCGGAGGGTTTAGCTGGCATCTGGCCACCATGACAGACTTCTGTAGCAGTTAATGACTTCATGCTCGGGGCCATGTGCAGTGAGTAAAGCTAACTTAACCTGGACAGCATTCCTGTAGCTGTTTGGCCCACTGGTTGTACGCAGTGCTTGTTGAAATAAGATAAATTTGTTAGGTTTAATTGCATTAATCATTAATTAGCTGTTAAGGAAAAGTTACCAATAATTATGTAAAAAAAGAAGCCTAATAATCACTTAACCTGTTCCTGAAGTTGCTTGTATAAGCAAGTTGATTTTACATGGTGTGTCTGTGTTAAAAATGGTTATAAAGATACACAATGATTGAGTGTTAACGTGGCAGACTACTAATAAAACGGTGTAACACTTACATGTCCAGCATTCAGGCTTACACAGTTAGATAGACACTAATCAGGAGATGTATCAGTCCTAGATATTTATTTGTACAAATCAAGTTTTCCTGAACTAATAGATGTTATTTTTTTGTGTCTCTGTCTGTTTTCCTCTCACATCTTGTCCTTCAGTCACGCTGCAGAGGTGATGGAAACAGCAGGGTGGAAGTCCATGGTAGCGTCTCATCCGCACCTGGTGGCCGAAGCTTATCGCTCCCTGGCTTCTGCCCAGTGCCCTTTCCTCGGACCCCCACGCAAACGCCTCAAACAGTCCTAACATCCTCCCAGCAGGGCGTCCTCACACACTCTCACACTCACACACACGCACACACAAAAACACACAGATCCCCCTTCAAACACACAGGGACAACCTTTCCCCTCGCTGTTACCTACGACACTACCTACAGCCTCCCCCGAATCTCCCCCTTCTGCCCCATCCAGAACCTGCTGTATTTAGTCTCTTCTAAAGATGGAGGGAACAAGAAGGAGGAAGAGGAGGAGGAGGAGGAGATGGACGAGAGGGACAGGTGGGCTCGTGAAGTGGATGTTTGTTGTTTACAAAAAAGAACCACAGCACCCTCCCCTTTCTCCTCGGCTCCGGCTTAGTGAGGTCTGACGTTGTGCTCTGTTCCGTGTGTGAAAATCCTTCGACATCCTGCTAGTTCCTACTTTGGAATCCGTTCGGGAGGAAGAACTGGACACATTAACCCAATAAGAGCCAACCGTCTGGAAATTTGGAGGCTTGAAGGACTATTGCAGATAAAGTCTTTAAGTGTCCATTTTATCATAAGGCTTCTTTTTGCTCTGTTCTTAGTGTTTGGAGTAGAGCGGTCAGAGAAGCCCCCAAACTAAAGGACACACATGGGCCTAGAGGGACTGAAGAAGGAAAAAGTGGGCCTGTTAGTTACAAACTAGAAGCCCCCCAAGAAAGACAACCAAGGGCTAGTCAAAAAAACAAAGCAGATGTGGGACAAAATCATCAACATAATTTTCCCAAAGAAAGTTGGGGAAACATTGCACTAAGGTCACAGGTCACCCCTTGTCAACCCTTACCAGCAGTAAAGTAGAAATACTGTAGGCAAGCACACATTGAAGCAAGCTTCATGGACTAAGGACCCAGCTGGACCACCAAGAACAAGTACCCTTTAAGAAGATTTATCAGCAAGTGACAACAAAACAACACACGTACTCCCATATAGAACTCTTCAAGCTTCATCTGCGTCCGTTTTCATTTTTTAAATAGCTGGAGAAAAACCGAAAAAAAAAAAAAACCCATGAAGAGGATACAGAAAAGAGCAACGCACAACTGGATGTCATTCTTGGGGAAATTGTGATTTGTGTGTGGATCTGTCTTTGTAGCCCTTGAGAGAAAATAATGTCCAAGGTGTCAACAGAGAAAAGCTACCAGGAGACGACGAAGGGAGGAAAAAACAAAAAGTCAAGAAGCGGTTACAAAAACAACATTAGGATTCAATCTGGCATGTTGATGTTCTTTTATGACGGATTTCGTATTTGTTTTTTTTTTTCTCCTCAGAATTGTCATTTATATTTTTTTCATAGGAATTTGTACAGACACTAGTGTTTTTGAAGCTGTGTATAAACAAAAAGCATTTTCAGCGGTGAAATTGACAGATTTGTTTTTCTTTGCAGGCATGACGGCTGAAGGGAAATTAAATTGAAATGAACACGTTTTAATGTTCAGAATAGACATAATGTGAAAAAATGCACACCAAGGCAAACCACATTGAAACACACCTGAAGTTATCATTTTAACCTGGTGGGAAATGGTAATTGATAGAAGGAACCATTGTTGTTTCTTTCCTGTAGATATCGCTGATTATACGAAGTGACACTTAGTTGTTGCCATTTTTTTGTTCCCAAAAGAATAAACCACAACTATTTTGTATTGAATGCAAAGTAAACTTTGTCTGGCTGTTTTTGTGGGAATTGTGTGTTCCGCTGTCGCATGAAAACCAAGATATTAATTAGAAGGTTGCACAGAAATGTCATTTATTGGGAAGAGAATATTTTTGTGAGAGCTGTTGACTATTTCGAGATAACTCATTGTGGGTTTGTGTGCTCGAATATGTTTATTTTCTCGCCTCCGTTCCCTAAATGCTTGCAGATCTTGTAGCGCCCTAGTTAGTTCTGTTTTTACACCATCCAAAAAACAAACTGCTTCCACTTTCCTGTGGTGGCAGAAGAAGAATGTGTTGTCCGTTAGCGCTGACGAGCTTCTCCTGCTTAATTCAAGTTCTCCTCCGTAAACAGGAGCTTTGGATTTGTTGTCGGATCTCGGGCTTCATTTAAATTTCTAACTTTTCTGGCTTTTTGCGGATTCGTACTGCGGTTTGAGGGAAAGTGTTTGGTTTGCTGTTAAGTGGATGTTTTTCAAAAGCAAGCGGTTACAAAGTCCTGTGTTTCAAGTGCAAATCAGAGTATTCCCATTTCATGCTGCTTTGTGCTTCTGATTCACTACATTTCTCAGTAAAATATACTCCCAACTCCACTACATTTATTTGACAGCTATAGCTGCTACTTGTCTTACAGATGGGAGATTTTCCTCTCATAATGTTTGACCTATTGGGATTATATTGTGCAACTTTACAGCAGAATATTTCTGGTTAGAATTCGCTTCACAAACTACAATTAAAAGTGCTGGTTACACATTACAGCATCATTAATGATAATAATGCAGCATGATGAAGCCACTGTGGCCATTTTTCCACATAATACTTGTATTTTTATTCACCCTAACTGTCCATACTAACACGTCAAAGCAGATTTAAGTTGTACAACTGTTGTAGTCTTGAGTAAATCCTCTGCTGCTAACTTACATACCTGGGTGAAATGAAATTTTAAAAAAAACGTAATTCTCTACCACATAATGATAAATTGTCTGACGTTCGGGGCCCACAAACAACATAAAACACGCACCCATAAAAGACACATAAAAATGGCATTAAAGCACAAACAAACCATAAATAAATAGGAGCAGATGTGCGAAGGTGCATCAAAGAGTGGCGACGGTGTTTTTGGCTTTAAGATGAATGTTGCCGTGAGAATGAATGAGCTTTTGTCAGTTTTCTTTTTGGCCAGATGTGCTTTGAATCCTGCATCTAAAAAGCTGTTTGTAGTTCGTTCTGTACGTGTTAAAGCTCATCTGTTAATAGCTGTCAAGTATGAGGACTGTCTCTTGCTGACTTGATAGAAGTCACATTGGAAGCTGAAGCTCGTAGCTTGACTTTAGTTGCAGCTGTTGAGTCTCTTCTTCAGGACTGCACACATAACCGGGCCGTGCAGTGGTTGGTCGGCGGCGGCGTCAACCTCTGTCACCCATCACGTTAGCAGTGTGCGTCTGGGTCATTAAACATCCGTTCACCCGGCTGAAAAGGTCACTTGCCAGTGTGGAGAGTTTAGTGACCGAGCCTCGGCTGATAACAGCTCAGAAATGCGTTTAATCCCCGTCGAGCTCTGCGCCTCCCGAACCATTCACTGACACAAACACTCACCAGCAGCACATTCAAGAAGCACAAACTGCAGTTGCAGGTTAACAATGTGTGACTATATATAGGTTGATACGGGCAGCGCTCAGACAGACCAGCTGGCAGAGGCAGTGGAATGTGAACTGTACGGTGGAAACAGGCACACTTCTCACCCAGATCACTGAAGTGGTTATAAAGTCAGAATGTTATTAACCTGTTTGGTTTATACCCTCCATAGGGTATCTTTGTTGTTGTAAAGAATCATAAAAAAAAACATCCTTCAGTTTGTTTTTCTCCAGGAAATCATTTCGTAAGCTCTCTTGTGAAGTATCACTATTGAATCATCAGGATGGTTTAAAGGACTCTGATGGTCCCTCTTTGCTGCCTCAGCACAGCAGGTTCTTTGAGGAGGACTCCAGAAATCATGAAAGCATCACTTGGTGGGTCACATTTTAATGGTGTTTAGAGTTTATTGTGCGAAACACAGTACAGCATGTGAGGAAATACATGAGACAGCAAAGAATGACTTAGCAAAGGCAAATGTGTCCTGGGTGAATGCAAACTGATGGTGTGACATATGCATAACTTCTGCCCCTGTAACTACAGTATGGGATAGTAAGGACATTTATATCAGTGCAGAATACAATTTAAACACTTAAATCTTTGTTCTGCCGAATGGTGTTGGAGAGAAATGTAAAGAATTTAAAGGGCTTTATTAGCATCATCCACATTATCTGTATTGTGACATCTAGTGGTGCTAACAGAACATCTGAGGAGGATGTTATAGGAGCCCTTCTGAACCAAAAACTTCAGCAAAGTATTATAGGAGGAATTATGTACAGCGCTAAAAGGATTAACATGTCTGTTTTTTAAAAAGAAGAAAAACGTGAACATTAACCAACTTCCAGCCTCTGATTTGTAAAGATTTCTTGCTTTTATTTGTTGTTTGTGATGCTGAACTAAAAATCTTTGAACAATTGTTCAGAAAAGAACCGACAGTAAGAAGCTTTGATATTTATTTTCACAAAAACCAGACAAGTAATGGGTTAATCAAGAACATCATATTAGTTGCCGTAATTATTTCATTTCATAAAAATGGTCTAATGCAACTCTTATAACCTACAGCAAGCACTAAAAACATGTTTTACAGTATTTGGAAAGTTCTAAGTTTTAAAATCTCCCCAGCATCCTTGGCTTGGCCTCTGTTTAATCTGTGGGCAGGTAGGCTGGAGTCTGGGAGCTGTAGTCCGGACAGACTTTCTGAACCAGCCTGTAGTCTGTGCTGTAGAAGGACACGTAGACGCAGATGACCTGGAACGGTTTGGAGCACATCCAGGTGACGTGGCTCTGGGTTTGTTCCTGCGCACACGTCTTCGACGGGTCGTAGTTGCACAGCATCACCTTTTTGTTGCGTTCGGTCTTCTCGTAGTCCACCCTGCAGTTGAACGTCTTCGAGTCTTTGGGGTGGACCACGCTTTGGCGCTCCAGGTCGAACTCCACCTCCTTCATCGGTGGGACGAGGCTGACGGACACGTTGCCCACTCCTGTGGAGTTGTGGCGGAAGTAGACGCCCAGAGAGCCGTTCCCGTGATCCACAATCTTTCCCATGATCAGCAGATTCAGTTTGACTGTCTTGATGTTTGAGTAAAAATCCCCCCAACTGAACGTCCGGGACAGTTTAGCTGCTCCGTGAACTTTCATGATGGGCTGGAGCTTTATCTTTAAGGATGGGTTGGAGTTGGATTGTGAGTTCCCTTCAAGAATTTCCCAGAGTCCCTGTTTGGAGAGAGGGATGAAGGGGCTAATGGGGAGTCTGGTGTTCTGAACCAGACTCCTGGTCTGAAGAACCCAGTTGTTCTGTGGAGACGCCTCCTGGTCTCTGTGGAGTTGAGGAGCTGTTCTTTTGATGAAGGTGAAGTTGCTGTGCGTCTGGTGTTGCCCGAGAACCAACTAGACAGAAAACCATAAGAACAAAAGACAGCTGGTGAAGTTAGAAAACATCAGCAGATTCACTTAATGCTCACTTTGTGACACATTTTTAGCAGAATCGATGACATACAAGAGAAATGCTGTGAAAAAATGTATTCCAAACTAATTAAATTAGAAATATCTAGATGTAAAAATACAAATGCATTTAAAATCTGCTTAACTATGCTAAAAGTACTTACTATGAAGAACTTTACCCTGAAAACTACTGATGCATTTGCTTTTGAGAAGCAATTTAATCCTGTAAGTGATTTGGTGAAATGTTAAACCTCATGCATGATGTTAAAACTGCAAAGTAATTACAATAGTGCAATAATTCTATGTGTAATATAGCAAAAGTCACATGAAACGCCACAGAAATAGAAAACTTTTACATCGAAACCTCCCCATCATTAATGTGAATGCATTGAATTATTGTTTTGTGCATCTTTTTTCCTTTTTTTTTTTGTTTTACTCACCAGACAAAAGGTTCCTTTCAGAAAAATCCAAACAAAGCAATAATTAGCAAACATCTCCATAGTGCACCAGTTCCAACAGCCATCCACTGCTGATTGAATTTCTTTCAGGTCAAGTTAACTTTTGGAAATCCATGTTTAATAGCAGGATCCACATTAAACAAATACTCAGTCAAAGCAGCAGGGAAGCGTCTGTGTGCTGCTGCTTCACTCCCAGCACACAGACTGGGAGGCTTTCTCAGATCTCGAGATTTTTAACACCCAGATTTGCTGTGTCTCCCCTCGCTCGCTCTCTCTCTTGCTCTCTCTCTTTTTCTCACACTCTCTCGCTGCTTTCTGCTTTCCCAATTTCACACACATAAACACACACACCTTTTTCTTTATGTTTATGCAGTGTTAACGATATCACACTTTATCAGCCTCCCCGTAGCCCTCCTGCCCGCCTCCCTGTCATGGAAAACATATTGCATTTTGTTCGGGGGTGATGACACAATTCAATTAACACTTGGTGAGTATGACACTTTATTTACATTCATGGTGTTGAGGGGGTAAACTAAGCCAAGAGAATGTGATACTGCCATCTTGTGGCTGGATAAGAAAGTGCAGACTGACCAAGAGCGAGGCAGCTCATGGTTTATTATTACACTGACCAGCCACAGCATTGAAACCACCTGATTAATCTTGTGTTGGTCTCTCTTGTGGTGTCAGTACTGAGCTGTCGAGGCTTTGACATGGGACTTCTGGAGGTGTTTGGCACCTGGACATTATGGATGTGGATGCTCAGTCGGGGGCTGCAAGGTGGATCGGTGGTTAGCATCGTTGCCTCGCAGCAAACAGTTTGCCGGTTCGCGTCCCAGTGAGGACACCCGGGATCTTTCTGTGTGGAGTTTGCATGTTCTCCTCGTGCAGCGTGGGTTCTCTCCGGGTTCTCCGGCTTCCTCCCACACAGTCCAAAAACATGTTGAGGTTAATTGGTGATTCTAAATTGTCTGTAGGTGTGAATGTGAGTGTGCTTGGTTGTCTGTCTCTAAGTGTAGCCCTGTGATAGACTGGTGACCTGTCCAGGGTGTCCTCTGCCTTCACCTTGAGTCAGCTGGGATAGACTCCAGCCCCCCATGACCCTAGTGAGGATCAAGCGGTGTATAGATGATGGATGGATGGATGCTCAGTCGGATTTGGATCTGGAGAGTCAACACCTTTCGCTCTTGGTCATGTTCCTTGAGCCAGTGCTGAGCAGTTGTTACAGAATGGCAGCGCTCGCTGTCCTGTACTTGGTCTTCAACAGCGTTTCAGTGAGTGGTTCGTGTCAAAGAAGCATCCGTCTGTCGTAAAGTTTTATACTGATGCTAAGCTCTACTTAATAATGCAGCACCAAGACTCTAATTTAAAGGCGTGAAATCAAGTTTATAATGTCTTATTATCTTTGCCGTGTTAGGTGGAGTACTGGTTTCAATGCGTCAGTGTTGGTTCAGGTGAATTCAGGACATGCAGCAAAACCCGCCTGCTTACTTGTAATGCTATAATGCACTTGTATGTGACACGCCAGCATCAGGCTGTCACGAGGATGAAGGGCAGCATCATGGGAAGCATTCTGAAGGAGAGATTTCAGAACTAGATTAACAGTTTGTTTTTATCAGCAACTTTGAAGTTGTACATTATAGACGTTGTATGTTCACTGGCGGCATGGTTAGATCGCTGGCTGATAAATTCAGCAGGACAGAGAGAGAATCAGCTGCACCATCTGCTGATGCTGCCGAGCGAAGGCGTTACTGAAAGTCATTCCAGCACTCGTGTCAAGTGATGTGTTTTACGGCACATTATTGTTCTGAATTATACAGGTTTATGGTGCTTTAATGTGCCGTGTTTCTTCAGTGTTTACTGATGAAAATGCTCAGTTTGCTTGATCAGTCTAGTGTTTTGTCTGCAAATGTTAGTGATGCAAAGGAAAGTTTGCCCGTGACATAAAAGCTGAATAACTTGAACTTAGCTTTATTTAAACCGGTTCTCTGTATTGAAACCAGACAGTAAGTTTTAATGATATTAGTGTTATTGGTTTTAACACCAGAGCTACCTTTTCTGAATACATATAGACGTAGCCATCAAATATCGAGGTGTCCTTTGGTCTGGTTGTCTTTTATTTTAGAATGAAATACACTAAATAAACAAATAAATACACTAAAACAATCCTTTCTCAGTGTTGACATGAAAAACGAAATTGAAAGCCTGCATACTGAGAGTTCACCGTTCTAAAACCTTTTTGTTGTATCTGCGGGTGTGTTTGTCCAGATAAAATCTCACATTGCACTGAACCAACAGGAAGCTGTGATCAATGAAAGCACTTACTGGAACCCGGTACAGATTAAATTCCAAGATTCCAAGATTAGATTTTCAGAATTCTGCAGCTGCACAAATTTCTGAATGTTATGTAACTGCAATTCTAATAAAAGAAAGACTAAACATTTTGTAGCAACTTTAAAACCAGGATTTCTTGCTGTGAGCACAGCTGCTGTTTTTTAAAACAAAAGCAAAGTCAAACATTTGTAGTCATTTTGGGGAAAAAATCATGAATTAATAGATGCTTATTTGCATTTGAGCAAATGTGTAATTTGCTTCCTTCGATCAAAGATTAAATTGAAGTTTTTTCAGTGAGGCCAACTTATTTAGATTTTTGGGTCAAAGACATTAAGTTTTAATCCTCCTGCTCCGGCTTGCTGCAGTCTGCATGACTTTAATCGTGGCAGAGGTCATGTTGCATGTTGTCGAAGGAAGAATCAGAAACAGAATCAGAATCCTTTTTATTGTCATTATGCATTTGCTTTTCATATGAAATCGCAGCTGGAAGTCTCAGCTTTCAGCAAAAAGAAGAAAAATGGCTTAAGTAGACTTTCGAAAATCATAAACACAAATAAGAAAGTATAAAATATAGAAATATAAACATTGTAAACAGGCTTTAAAAAGTGCAGCGGTGTAATGTCCAGGCTGTGTGAGGTCATGCAGGGGGGAGGTGACATTCACAGCTCTAGAAGAAGAAAAATATCATCACAAATCACTTCCCATTTAGGATAAAAAAGCCGTTGCATGAAGTTAAAAGTTGATCCTTACTTTTCTGTTTGCTGTGCACCACTGAGCAACAAGCTTCTTTATCAGCATTCCTGCTGCTTTATAATAAAAATTTGATCAATTTTCCATTTTACAGTCTAAAAAACATGTTTATTCTTTCCAGGTTGTGATACCAGATATTCAGACCCATAAAGTTAATGGCTGATTAATTTTGTAACCATAACTGTAGAAATACAAAGAAGTAAGCACAAACTGTAGTTCGTGCCTGAAAGTTTTAATCTTTTGAGTTATTTTCCTGTAGTGGAGACACAACAGAGAACTTTGCTTTTAAATTACACAAGAACTCCGAGTTAATGTCTAGAAAAGTTGCCAATAAAAATGTATAATGAAAGTGTGGCACTCACTGAGGGCTGCAAGGTGGAGCGCTGGTTAGCACCATTGCCTCACAGCAAGGACGGTTTGCGTCCCAGTGAAGACACCCGATATCTTTCTGAGTGGAGTTTGCATGTTCTCCCCGTGCAGCGTGGGTTCTCTCCGGGTTCTCCAGCTTCCTCCCACAGTCCAAAAACATGTTGAGGTTAATTGGTGATTCTAAATTGTCAGTAGGTGTGAATGTGAGTGTGCTTGGTTGTCTGTCTCTAAGTGTAGCCCTGTGACAGACTGGTGACCTGTCCAGGGTGTCCTCTGCCTTCACCCTGAGTCAGCTGGGATAGACTCCAGCCCCCCGTGACCCTAGTGAGGATTAAGCGGTGTATAGATAATGGATGGATGGATGGATGGCACTCATTGCGTCGAAAATTATAAATATAATATAAATAAAGGTTTGATCTATCAATCTATCTTAATCTTGTAACCATGATTTATACGACCTATTGCGTTTTTTTGGGGGGTTTTTTCCGCACAATGTGTCTTTTGATTTTTCAGTATAAAATACCACAAAGATGGTCCATTTCACCATCACTGTATATCTCCTGGTTTTAGTTCAGTTCTGAACAGGCTGTTTTGGTATCTGTAGCTTAATGGCAGCTGATATCTGGACCCCCTTCAGGAAGAAGACTCACGCAGTGTCTATGATTGACAAAGCAAAACAGTTGACAACAAGGCAGCTGACATGTATTAGATCCTGTCCTGCGTCTCTCGTTGCTCTCCGTTTGTCTACGTGTCCATTCCATCTCCCTTTTCAGTTACTTCCTTTTTTATTTTGAAGTTACTTAACCTTGTGCGTCTCTAGTGTCTTTGTGGAAGAAGGTCACATCTTGAGCCTCCAGATTCTCCTCAGCAGCATGCATGACTTTATCATCTTGCTGTAAATGGCGACCACACAAGTGTGGTTTCAGTTTGCCAAACAGTAAGTTTCATGGGGCAAAAGCTCAGAGCTACATTTGTCTTCCTCCTCCACCTGTGCTGTGACGGATGGACGCAGTGTTCTGAAGCAACAGCACAACAACTCACAGCTTTCCTCCCTTTTTTTTTCTTCTTTGACTGCTTTGATTTGAGTTTTAGTGGACAGTGATAAAAGGCTTGATAGTATACATTCATACCCCAAAATGAGAGTGCTTTGTTTTCAGGTGAGGCAGAGAACTTTTTGAAGTGCCCTCATAGTGCAACGTCTTCCCCTGTCATAGTAACCTAATGTTTGTTTACATCATGTTCACCGGATTCTTTGCTCCTGTTTGGGTTTCTGTTTGTCAGGCTTTGCTCACAGCTGAGATGTTTTGGAGTTCTTTGAGCTCGCTGGCTATTGGCTCCTCAGCTGGAATGTAGAAGTTCAGCAAGATTTTTACTGGCTGGTACGGCTAGTAGGAGGAGATCTAGTCGTGGGAGGCTTGAAGATCAGTAGAATTACACGTCTTCATATTTAAAAGCTTTTACTTTGCACCTTCAAGTTTACAGCAAACACAAAACACAATTAAAATGTACTTTCCCCATGTGGGACCTTTTACTACCGTGTATTAGAAGTGGCACATTTATTTAATGTGCTTTGAATATTGCTAATAATCACTTTTTGTCCTTGGTCATTATCGGCCAAATGATTATTGTAAATTTAAGTGAGGGTTGACTTTTGTCAAACAATCAAAGAGTGTCTCTGAAACTTAGTTTTGAGG